TATAGATTAGAACAGATTGCATTACAAAAGAAAACAGACTACATCACATGAAGCAAAGGTACAAATTGGGAAACTGTTGTTTTCCGGTTTTAGGCAGGTATGTGTGCAGCGACATGTAGTGAGTCTTGGTGGATTATGTTTTTCTAAGTGTGGGCTGAAGTCAAAGAAGTTTGAAAACCACCAGGATAGAAGATCTTCAGTTTACTTAAGATCTAAATTATATAATTTCTAAGGCACTCAGATGTTAACCTTTCTTCTTATATCATCGTTCATTAAGAATTATTAGTGAATTACATGCAATTTTATCCAAAGGAGACTAGTAAGAAAATTCTAACAGATAAGCACATTAGTGAATAAGAAAATGTTCATTACTGAGTAAAACTTGGAAGAAATAATTTTTGGCCATTTCTTTTTCTTGAAACAAACAACAAAGCCAGAACATACTTTCCATAAAAATTTTCCACTTAAAACACTACAATCTAAGTATAACTACTGAGAAGATAATAAAGTGTCTTATTGTGTAACTAGTATATCCAAAATCTTATTCTAATGTTTGAATTTAAATTATCCTGGATGATTTCTGGAAGAGCCCTTATAAAAGATAAAGATATAGCTTTTGATAAATTCATTACAGGTAAAGTTTAATACTGGAGATATGAAGATTCAATCGTACTTACGTCTTCAGTACCTTCATGATCACAGCCTTTAGGTTTCTAACATGTTTGCTTAGGAAAAGGCAACCCAAGCACATCTTCACCCCCATTTTTTTCAACCACCAACCTCAAAAGGTTAAAACACTTTCCAGAGGGCACATGTGTGGCCTATCATATGTCACTTCCTATTCAGTGCCAATCACAGGCACTACTAAAGGAGCACAGGGTCCTTTCAACCCAGCTTCCAGACAGCACGCGCTTGTCTATGAGCCGGTGAGAGGAAACGTTTTCCTTATCTGGCACAGATCAGAATCCATTTGTGTCAGAAAGCTTTCTCGTGGAAACCAAGTTGCCACCACACACACACACACACACACACACACACACACACACACGCTTGCCCAAGGAATACATACATGCATTCGGAAATCTGGTTTGATTTAGATAACAATGAGGCATGATCTAGTTGGTAACTCTAACCTTCTGTTATGTTTAGTTTGTCAAGTTGCTTGATTTAATGAAAAAACTTATTCGTATTCTTCACACTCAAGAATCAACGTCATAAATGAAGGTGGATTAGATATCTGGTTCTTAACTTCTCCCTTTCTGTGCTCCCTCTTAAAATGCACATTCCCACCACGTGACTTAGTAATGGAAATGATATATAATATGTGATGTTCTGCATTCAACTAAATATCTTAGGTATTATTCAGTGCATTATAGAGTCTTGGGGGCGAAAAACTGGAAAGCCAGGCTAATCCTACAAAAGGCACCATAAAGCCGGACTGTTAAAAACAAAAACCTCCCCTGGCCGGTTTGGTTCAGTGGTTAGAGCGTCGGCCTGCGGTCCTGAGAGACCCGGGTTTGGTTCCCGCTAAGGGCACGTACCTCGGTTGCAGTTTGTCCCTGGCCCTGGTTGGTTGTGCGGGTGGCAGCCACTCGATGTGTTCCTTTCACATCGATGTTTCTCTCTCTCTCTCTCTGTTCCTCTCTCTCCCTCCCGCTCTACCTGAACAAAAAATGGAAAAATGTCCTCGGGTGAGGATAAAAAAAAAACAAAAACAAAAAAACCTAATTTTCTCTTTTTTTTCAACAGCATCATCTCATATCAGAAGTTACTGTTTCTAAATTATTGAATTCGTGAGTAAATCTGCCCCTTCAAATCATCTGACTTTGCCTCTGAGGAGTCATGTCACTTCCTCTTCATGTCAATGTCATGCATGGCTGAGTTGCCGTATCTGCTTTGGCCACTAAAGCTCGAGTCATTCGGAGCCATCAAATCAATTATAACAGCGGCTGCTGTCTTACACGGACAACCAGTGATTGATAACAAAACCTGTTTGCTTTCAGTTTGCATCTGAAGCAACAAGCCAGTCCCTGCCTACTCTCACCGGCATTTGCTATAAATCAAGAGCAAGTCCACGTGTGGAAAGGGACTCGAGAGGCTTGAGTCCATCTGGTTGCATTTTATTTTCAAATTTTAAAAATATAATTATTCAGCAAGACTAATGCCAAAAGAGTATTTCCTGAAGTGTCTAATAATACATGTAATCTCATAATTCAACAGCACATCATGTTCCTATTCTTTAATGCAAGTTCTAAAGTGAATGATTAAAATAACACTAGGGCTTTGAAAGAAAATTTTACACTCTGAAATTCTGCAAATTTATATTTAGTAGTGAAAAATGCATTTCCTTTCAGATTATTTCAGATAAATGTAATGCTTTACATTGTCACAAAACTTCTGGAAAAAGATCTTTTTTTCCTAATCATTAGTCATTACAAAAATGAAAATAAAAGTTTAATGTAATATTAAACAAATATTAGTCAATAAGCAGTGAATATTAATTGTATGTCGAAGATTAATCTGCAGAAATAATATAGAATTTTCTGAAGAAGTTATTACTTAGACAGACCAGCGTACTTTAAATATTTTGTGAGTTGATTAACACCTTAGTCGTTTGCAGAAAAAGGAAACACCACCAATCTAATTTACAGAATTTGAAGAACACTTGCAGAATTTTTAACACCTTACTACACAATTTTCAATATAAAAAAATACTGAATCTACTCTATGTTCTAAGCTGAACCAAGCATCAGGCGCATGACAATGAATGAAATGCAGGCACTGGCACCGCAGGTAAACAGAGCAGACCCAAAACCAAGGAGGTGGCTGCAGCCACAGAACATAAGAGACCACCACAGTGAGTAATGAAGTAACGGTTCCACCAGCTCCAAACTCCAACACGTGTGCTCACAAAGCTTGAATTAAGTCTCAGTTCAGCTTACTAGCTGTGTGATCTAATAGTCTCTTAACCTCACCTTTTTCTTTTTATTAATTGATTTTGATAGAGAGAGAGAGAGAGAGAGAGAGAGAGAGAGAGAGAGAAAGAGAGATTTGTTGTTTCACTTATTTGTGCATTCTTTGGTTGGTTCTTGTATGTGCCCTGACCGGGGATCAAACCCACAACCTTGGCATATCAGGACAATACTCTAACCAACTGAGCTTCTTGGCCAGTGCCAATGTCACCTTTTTTTTTTTTTGGGATAGATTTATCTGGAAATGGTGGGCATGAGTTCAACATTCGCTCATCTGTACAAGAAAACCCTGGGCACAGGGGTAGTTGCTCATTAGTTTCACTTCTCCTTTACAGATTCTTACCTTCTAAGCTTAGTTACCATCCTCAGAGGTATACAAGACCAAACTCCCTCATTTAAAATGTAAAATGACTGATTTATAGAATTCCCTGGGCAGAGGTGGTACCCATGGTAACAATAGCCTGGGGTCCATTTAATAAAGATCTTGTTCAAGAAGGTGGCCAGCCAAAGTGAGGGGACCACAGCAGTAGAGAAGGTGTGGGTGAATGGGGTGGGGAGAGCTGGAGAGACCAGCCGAAGGAGAGAGCAGCCTCCAGGGAGACTGGCCAGACCTGGAGCCTGCTGACTTGCCAAAGCAAAACCTAAACTGCTTAAGAATTGTCTTATTCACCTTTAGCTTCCTTCCTTCCTCCTTGTGCTGGGGGTTAGGAGGGGTTATTACTCTAGGTAGGCCCCAGGTAAGATAGATTTGACCTACTGTTAAATACTAAGACTACTAAAAAGAAAACAAGCACCAGAGAATCTATTCTTCAACATTTTGTGATTAAATGCTATAATCCCATTAATCGTTCCAAATATTTTTTTGAGTGGCACCACTTTAAAAATCTACTCCTTTATATAATAGCTTGCAACACCCATAAGGGAATTCTGTAGATCAAATCCATTCTGCATCTGTTCCAATAACCATTACAGACTGATCTGAATTGTATCTTCATAAATTTTAGATAGTTTGACCATTGTATATATTACCCATATGCCTCTTTTGTGTACCAAAATATTTTCACCAACACACTATCTGTCCACAAAAACTTAGCTGTGTTTACAACCAATGGTTTTCCCACTTCTGGAAGCTTTTTCTTTAAGTAGTAGCAAAGCAATACAATTTCATGTATTAAGAACATTTCAGGGGTAAAGTTTAAACGCTCTCCCTACTGGCCTCTCATCTCTCCTGACTATGTTGTAAGGATCTATCCCTTTTGCTTAGGTCCAAATTATTAAAATTAACAACTGTTTGTAGAGAGGGATTAGTAAAGGGATTTGAAGTTCTGAATTTGCATTTCGTTAAGAATGTGATCCTCTAGAATAATGTGCTGTACAAAATAATCACATTTCATCTACTGAATTTTAATTTGGTTTTTGAATGCATTTAGTATTCTCATACTGAACTGCTGGAGACTGCATGGTCTAGGAGAAAAACCACATCAGATGCAAGAATTAGATATTCTTTACTCCGTATGGAGCAATGTGAGCCGGTCAGTTAACTACCCTTAAGTACCCAATTTCTCACTTGGTAATGAGGAATACTAATATCAGCATGTGTACTCACAGTGCTATTCTGAGGATCAAATGGCAATGTCAACAGTACCAGGAGCATCAGAAGTATAGTAGCTTCTGTAGCCCTTCATGTCTATAAGTATTACTCTGGGCCAGGCACTCTGGGAAAAACGTTTAAATACAGAACTCATTTAGTACCACCTGACACAATGTACAAAGTACATTTCTTTTATGGATTAAAAACAAAACAAAACAGGCACAGACAGATTCTTAAAAATTACGTCAATATCAAAGCTGGGATTTGAACCCAGGTCTGCTTTTCCTCATGCATACTGTCTCACCAAAATGCTATGCTAACTCTTGTTAAGCACCACAAAAATGTAGCACAGGACACGAGAGAATACGTGCTGATTATGACTCTGTGGCAGACATGCACCATGCACATTTTCAATGCTGTACAGACGCTCGTTTTACCTTAGTCAAGCGTAGATTGCAAAATCATTTCAGAATATTCTTTCCTTAGGAAATACAGTCTTGTCTACAAACAATTAAGATAAACTGTAAGGATAGAATTTAAGAGATACTTATTTTGGAGTTAGAAAAATCTGAGTTACAATCCATCTTTATTGTACTGTACATGTAAGACCACAAACAAATGATTTCACCTCTCTACACCTTGGAAATGGGAAGAGTCTTCTTGCCTCAGAGAGTGAAGATAAGTACACAGTGCCTGTCACATAGACAGCACTCGGTAAATGGTATCTGCTAATATTAATTACAGAGATAGCACTAATGACATTTAATTAGCCTGTGTGCTGGGATTTCCCATAGGCTAAGTCTAACACCATGTACCAAAGCCATCTATAATTTGTAAAATGAGCAAACAAAGGATATTTAAGCAGTACACAAAAATGCCATGAAAAAAAAGTAAAGGCAAGTTAAATTCTAGCTTAGGTACCTTGGGGAAAACTTCATCAAGTTGTACATAAAGGGTCAAGAAACTTATAACGAGCTAGTATTAGATAACTTGTCTCACTTTTTTACAATATAGAATCATTTGAACTATATTAGAGATACAACACATTTACCCCGCCCCCATCCCCATATTTTTCAGTCGAGAGTGAGGGGATGAGGAGTCAGGCATGACAGAAAGAGATGAACAGAGAAGGTGCAGCCCAAGAGCACGGAGGACATTTTCTCAAAGAGCTGACAGCAGGAATGGCTCAAGGAACCCACACCCAGGCCTGCGGAGGGAGGGAGACCATGGCGACGATGAGCACAGAGGTGAGGCCGAGAGGTGACCTGGAGTTAGGAAAGCAAGGCAACTGGGTATTTCCTGTGCCCACCAGCCATTTAGTCACCTTCACCGTTTAACCAGCTGTCATTCCTGACAAGAGAACATGATAAACTTAAATGAAACTTTAAAATTAAGTAGGTGCAATTTAAAAGAAAGAGAATGGTACAAGTTAGGAGAGTAGAAATATACAGGGAAGTTTTTTTCTTTAAATTTCCTCTCATCCTAGAGATATCTTTGGGGGTGTATGCAGGAGACACAAATATACAAAGAGAAAATGTGAGTACATATCCCTAAAAGGGAAAGAAACAGTCTGATAACACTTATGCTGTTGTACTACTTATTTAAATTTTTTCTCATACCTACATAATAAAAATATTATGGATTTAAGTGTACTTCAGAGACAAGAATACTAATGCAAGGTACAGCTCTAAGTACTGCTAGCAATAAGTGAATGGACTTGCAAAATGTGACTTACAAGAGATACAGTTCACTCTATAATGCCAAACGGTTTATATAATCTTAAATAAATTAAAAATTATTAGGTAGACTAATAAATAAAATCTATAGGCCAATTCAAGTATAGCTAATATAGCAATAGTAAAAGTTTATAAAATAAAGTCACATAAGTTCCAGAATTTGATCTATTTAATTATTATTCAACATTAACACAATTTAGAAATAGCAAAAAAAAAAAGATGTCTGTGGAAATTACTTGTATCCTAATCACATTCACAGTTTCTTATCTGATTTATCATGAGTAGTGCCTCAAATGACATACTATTTTTCTGCCTTCTCTATGATGTTTCAATATAAGTGTGCAATAAAGATTATATAAATTAAGAAAATATATAGATACATATAAAGCCAAGAGTAAACCATTTTCAAATACTTAAGCTGTAGTCTTTTTTGGCAGATTGTATTTAAAGTTAGAAAATAGGTATTGTAAAAATTAGAAATTAAGGACTTAAAATGTTTTTGTATGCAGATCATGCATTATTAAATCTGTGATAAGAAAGGTAGAAAGTATTATTCTTTAAATATATATACGTAAGATGGGCAGTTGGCGTTTAATGAACACAGAGTTTTATTTGGGGACATGAAGAAGTTCTGCAGGTGGATACTGGTGATGGTTGTATGAATGTATTTAATGCCATTCAGCTGTGCAGTTAAAAATGGTTATAATGACAAATGTTATGCTATGGATATATTACCATAGTAAAAAGTGTAAATATGTAAGAAAAGAGATGAAAAATACAAAACAAAGGCATGAGTAAAAAAGTATTTTTAAAAAAGATTAAATACTTCATATTCTAGATGGCAACACTAAATAAGGAAGGTTAAAACATCTTTTAGAAGAAAACAATATATTCATAGTCTAGAGGTCAGCAAAGGTTTCTTAAATAGGACACTAAAAGTGTTAACCAGAAAAGTAAAGGCTAATTAATTGGACCACATTACAACTAAGGTCTTTTATTTAGAAAAACACCACTAAAAAAGGGAAAGGGCAAGCTACAGAGCGGGAGAAGATATTTGTTACATATATCCACCAAAGAACTTGCATCCAGAATATACCAAGAACTTCTTGAGTTAATACAAAAAAGACAACCCAAGAGAAAAATGGACAAAAGACTTGATCAGGCACTTCATAAGAGAGATTACACATTAAAGGAAATACAAATTAAAGGACCCACTGTAATACTAATACACACAAACAGAATGATTAAAATAAAAAAGAATTGAAAAGAATGACAATACCAAGTGTTGAGATATGAAGCAACTGTAATTTCATGCACTGATGATAAAAGAATAAATTGGTGAGATTTCTTTGAAAAATCTTCTGGTAGAATTCATGTAAACTAAACATAAACATACCCTGTGATCCAGCAATTCCACTTCTAGTTGTATACTTGACAGAAATGCATACTTATGTATACCACGACATGTTTGAGAATGTTCATAAGTAATACCCCTCAGAACAGCTTCAGGCTAGGAACAAAGCAAATGTTTCAACAGCAGATTGGACAAATTATACACTATTCAAATAGTGGAATATTAGACAGCAATAAATATTAGCAAACAGTTGTTATGTATAACATCATAATCGAATCAAACAGACATGTTGAGTGAATCAAGGCAAATTCCAAAGAGAACAGACTGTGATATTCCATTTATATAAAGGTTCAAAACAAAGCAAAGGTAAGCAAAAGTAAGTGATAGTCTTAGAAGGTACAGAATAGTTATCCTTGGGAAGTGAGGGAGGAGGTAAGGAGACGAGCTAGTGACTGAAAGGGGAGAGAAAATCGGGCATCTGGGGGTAATGGTGACGTTCAATTCTTTGGTTATGTGTGGAGTTATATGACATGTTCATTTTGAGAAAATACATTGAACACAGTTGAACCTTGAACAACAAAGGTTTGAAAAGCATAAGTCCACTTATATGCATTTTTTTTTCAATTGGTAATTTGAAAAAACTCACAGAAAATCTGCATGGTCTAAAACAGATGATACAGATATGTACAGTATAATAAATATATTTTCTCTTGCTTATGATTTTAACATTTTCTTCTCTTCTCTCTAGCTAACTTTATTATAAGAATATAGTAGGTAATATATGTAACATACAAATTATGTGTTAATCAGCTGTTATCACTACAGCTTTGGTCAATAGTAGGCTGTAAACAGTTAAGTTTTTGGGGAGCCAAAAGTTATACATGAATTTGACAATGTAGGGTGGAAAGGTTGGCACACCCAACTCCATGTTGTTCAACTATATTATTATGATTTGTGCACTTTTCTGCATTATGTCGTATTAAGTTAAAAAGTTAAAAAATAACAGAACTATTAAAACTAAAACCAGAAAAAAAATTAAATGAAAACAAAAAGCCTCAATTTTACATGAAAACTAGAAAGGATCATACACACTAACAGGCATATCTTCAAAATGCTGAAGCAGAAACTAGCACTTGCTAGCACATACCCTTGCAGATTTCCAGCAGAAATACTAGAAATCTAAAAAACACAGATTTTCCTAAAAGTAAGTTTCAGAGCCTGGAAAGGTATCTGATTAAAGGAAGTGGTTGGGGCAGGAAAGAGATGGAACCAAACACTGCACACGATACATGTACAGAATGTAGGCTGAAGAGAAATAGTGATGACATGTCACCCTCACAGCCCAGGGTGATAGCAACAAGCAAACAAGTAAGACCATGAGGTTCAGTTATAAAAAGCCAGTGTCTTAAGTGCCAAACTACCTGGACACCAAAAAGTATGAGAAAATCCAGGGCAATAAAAAGAAAATATTTGAAGACTTTAATCTCCACTTGAGACTATACAAACTCACTCTCACCACCCACCCACCTCAATCTCTCCCCATAGAGTGTTCAGCAATAATTAAAAATCAGGAGGAGAGTTTAAGGGAGTTTTGGGACAATATAAAATGTAACAATATTCACATCATAGGGGTACCAGAAGGAGAAGACTCAGAGAAAGGAATAGAGAACCTGTTTGAAGAAATTATGACAGAAACTTCCCTAAATTGGTGAAGAAAAAAGTCACGCTAGTCCAGGAAACACAGAGAGTCCCAAGCAAGATAAACTCCAAAAGACTCACAGCTACACACATCATAATTAAAATGGCAAACATTAAAGACAAAGAAATACTCTTAAACAAAGCAAGAGAAAGACAGAAAGTTACCTACTAGGGAGCTCCCATTATGACAGCTGATTTCTCAATAGAAACACTGCAGGTCAGAAGGAACTGGCATGAAGTAGACAAAGTAATGAAAGGCAAGGGTCTGAATCCAAGATTACTCTATCCAGCAAGGCTATCATTCAAAATTGAAGGTGAAATAAGGAGCTTCACAGACAAAAAAAAGCTGAAGGAATTTACTACCACCAAACTAGCACTGCAAGAAATGCTACAGGGATTGTTGTAAAAGAAGAAATAGAGAGAGCGAGAGGAACACAGGCATAAAATAAAAATGGCAACTAATAAGTATGTAACAATAATAACCTTAAATGTAAATGGCTTAAATGCTCCAATCAAAAGACATAGGGTAGCTGACTGGATAAGAAAACATGACCCATATATATGCTGTCTACAAGAGACCCACCTCACAACAAAAGACTCACAAGGATGAAAGTGAAGGTATGAAAAAAAAATTTCCAGGCAAATGGAAATGAAAAAAGAAGCTGGTGTAACAACACTCATATCTGATAAGATACACTTCAAAACAAGGAATATAATAAGAGACAAA